GATTTAATCATGAGATTTTAGAATGCTTTCCCTCCACACTTTATCGCCACACCAACAGGATTCCAGCATAACATCAATAGATTATAGCTAAAAAAGCTACAAGACACAGACTCTCCACTGAGGCAGAGTTCTTAAGGAATCTCAAAGTCTTCAAAGAAGGGAGACAAAAATAAGGACACCAGAGGAAGTGAAGCCCCGAAACCTACAACAAACATTAAACAAAGCTCATCTGCTAGCCAGAATAACACAAGTCCTCACACTAAAGGTCTACTTACCTCAGTTTCTATTACCAGATACCTGTTCAACTTTGAACAACAACAACGACAAAACTATGACGTAAGCCAATAAAAGAGAAAATACACCTAAAGAAAAAAGGAATAAGAACCACACTCAGCTATGAAACAGATGTTGGTATTATCACACAGATAGTTTAAAATAACTATGATTAATATGTAAGGACTCCCCTTCAGAGTTTTGTCAAAGGCAAATGGTTTTATTTTTTATGTTTTTCGTTTTGTTTTGTTTTGTTTTTTAGTAATCTCTAACCCAACATGGGGCTCGAACTCACAGCCCTGAGATCAAGAGTAACATGCTCTTCCAACTGAGCCAGCTAGGCACCCCCAAGCAGATGGTTTGAAAGACATTTAAAAAAATCCACTCAGTATATCACAATTGAGAATTTTATTAATAAATTTTTAGGAGTAAAATTATTAAATTTTATTAAAAATTTCTTTCAAAGAAAGAAGTGAAAAAAAGTATTTGCAAGAAATAAATAAGAGAAAAACCTGCTTCAAACTCTGTGTCTCCCTCTCTCTCTGCCCCTCCCCCACTCTCTCTCTCTCTCTCTCTCTCAAAAATAAATAAATGTTCAAAAACAATTTTTTTAAGAAATAAATAAGAGAAAAAGGATTACTGTCCAAATTACATAAAGGATTTTTACAAGGTCATAAAAAATAGAGGAAAATGGGCAAATACATAAACAAGGCAATCCATTATCATATCATATATGAAACATCACAGTTAATCAATAATTCACTGGTAAATAGTAGACCAGCCATGGCAGGTATTCAACAATAGGAAATAGGAAGTCACTGTATCAGCAGGGGCCTCCTGTGTCACAGGATCCTGGACTCTTCCCTATTGATGGCTAGCAGCCAAGAAAGTGGAAGAAACACTAACTGATTAACATTTTATACAAATTACTGAAAACAAACTTGAGATCTAGAAAAGAAGCATGAAGGCTGGAACAAAGAAGAGAAAATGAAACTGTGGTAGGCTACAACGATAAGACAGAAAAGACAAATTTAAGAAATATTAACAATTTAAAAGAAACAAGAATGGGATAACTAACTAGAAGGACAGGAGAACTGAGACAGAAAGTGGTTTAGGACTTCTATCACATGGATGACTGGCTAAACAGTGTTAATATGTGACAGAGAATAAAGAAACACAAGTACTTTATGGATCTGTTATTTCTGGATGCTCTTGAACAAGTCACACACAGGGGACTAGCAGAGAGGTACGCTGGAAAGACAGACTCCCACAGGTGCCCATCAGCTATGAACACAGAGAAGATGAATCTGTGAGGGCAACGAGAATAACAAGAAGCAGAGAGATGGGACATGCTCCTGAGGATGATAATGTTTAAGGGCAAAAGGGTGGAAGAAAGCACCACAAAATACAAAATACAGACAAAGGCACATCCAGTGGGATGGTGTCAGAGAAACCAACAAGAAACTCTCAGGAGAGAACAGTCAACAGTGTCCATGAGACAGCAGGTACTGGTAATAGCCATCATTTTATTGTAATTAGATCACTGTAACCTTTACAAAAAGACGTTAAGACAACTGGAAAGGAAGAAGCAAGAATGGTCTGAAATGTAAAATAGAATTATGGACACAAGAGCCAGAGAGTATAACCCTGAACTATCTGTGCCACCACTAAATACGGCCTAACGGGGGGAAAAATCATTTACTGGAATAATCAGTAAAGAACATACACTTGATTCCTTCTTCCAAATACTCTACATCTTATCCTTGGATCATACAGGAACATCAGAAAATGGTCTAGAGCACTGCTGTCCAGTTTGGTAGCCACAAGCCACATGTGGCAACTAAGCACTTAAAAGTGTTGATATGTGAGTCGATACTACCCAAAGCAATCTACATATTCAATGCAATCCCTATCAAAATAACACCAGCATTCTTCACAGAGCTAAACCAAAGAATCCTAAAATTTGTATGGAGCCAGAAAAGACCCCGAATAGCCAAAGCAAGCCTGAAAAAGAAACCCAAAGCTGGAGGGATCACAATCTCAGACTTCAAGCTGTATTACAAAGCTGTAATCATCAAGACAGTATGGTACTGGCACAGAAACAGACACATAGACCAATGGAACAGAATAGAAAACCCAGAAATGGACCCACAAACATATGGCCAACTAATCTTTCACAAAGCAGGAAAGAATAGCCAATGGAATAAAGACAGTCTCTTCAGCAAGTGGTGCTGGGAAAACTGGACAGCGACATGCAGAAGAATGAACCTGGACCACTTTCTTATGCCATACATAAAAATAAACTCAAAGTGTATTAAAGACCTAAATATAAGACAGGAAGCAACCAAAATCCTAGAGGACAAAACAGGCAACAACCTCTTTGACCTCAATAGCAGCAACTTCTTACCTGACATGTCTCTGGAGGCAAGGGAAACAAAAGCAAAAATGAACTATTGGGACCTCATCAAGATAAAAAAAAAAAAAAAAAAAAAAACTTCTGTACAGTGAAGGAAACAATCAGTAAAACTAAAAGGCAACCAATGGAATTGGAAAAGATATTTGCAAATGACATATCAGATAAAAGGTTAATATCCAAAATCTATAAAGAACTTTTCAAACTCAACACCCCCAAAAACCAGTGAAGAAATGGGCAAAAGACATGAATAGACACTTTTCCAAAGAAGACATCCAGATGGCTAACAGACACATGAAAAGATGCTCAACATCACTATCATCAGGGAAATACAGATCAAAACCACAATGGATACGACCTCACATCTGTCAGAATGGCTAAAATTAACAACTCAGGCAACAATAGATGTTGGCAAGGATGCAGAAAAAAAGGAACTCTTTTGCACTACTGGTAGGAATGCAAACTGGTGCAGCCACTCTGGATAACAGTATAGAGGTTCCTCAAAAAATTAAAAAATAGAACTACCCTATGACCCAACAATTGCACTACTAGGTATTTATGCAAAGAATACAGGAGTGCTGTTTTGAATGGGCACATTCACCCCAATGTTTATAGCAGCATTATCAACAATAGCCAAAGTATGGAAAGAGCCCACATGTCCATCAACCAATGAGTGGATAAAGAAGATGTGGCGCACACACACACACACACACACACACACACACAATGGAATATTACTTGGTGGTCAAAAAGAATGAAATTTTGCCATTTGCAACAACGTGGATGGAACTAGAATGTATTATACTAAGCAAAATAAGTTAGAGAACGACAAACATCATATAACTTCACTCATATGTGGAATTTAAGATTCAAAACAGATGAACATAAGGGAAGAGAAGCAAAAATAATATAAAAACAGAGAGGGAGATAAACCATAAGAGATTCTTAAATACAGAGAACAAACTGAGGGTTGCTGGAGAGTGTGAGGGGGGTGGCTAAATGGGCAAGGGGCATTAGGAGGGCACTTGTTGGGATGAGCACTGGGTGTTACATGTAAGTGATGAATCACTAAATTCTATTCCTGAAATCATTATTACACTATATGTTAACTAACTTGGATTTAAATGAAAAAAAAATAGCTAATTAGAAAATAACAAGAACTAGCTAATTAGTAATTTTGCTAAGTCCAAATTAGAGTTATCATTGGGATATTAAAAAAAAAAGACCAAAAAAGATGTTGATTTGTTCACAGGAACTACATTTTAATTGCTTTAAATGAACTATCTACATGTGGCTAGTGGTTACTATACTGTACAGCATCCAGTACCAGACACGATATTCTGATTTTCTGAAAATCTATATCCACTGAGTTCTCCCTTAGCTCTAGAGTCCTCTGTTCCCATTGAAGAACTGCTCAGTGAAAGAGGCTGCATTTCTTCTAGGGAAGTTGTTAGAAGGTTGTACACTTCATCATCCATACAGAGTGCAAGAAAGGAACTTCTTTTAAGTTTACTTATTTTTTTTTAATTATTTTTTTTTTAACGTTTATTTATTTTTTTGGGACAGAGAGAGACAGAGCATGAACGGGGGAGGGGCAGAGAGAGAGGGAGACACAGAATCAGAAACAGGCTCCAGGCTCTGAGCCATCAGCCCAGAGCCCGACGCGGGGCTCGAACTCACGGACCGGGAGATCGTGACCTGGCTGAAGTCGGACGCTTAACCGACTGCGCCACCCAGGCGCTGAAAGGAACTTCTTTTAGACTTTAATGCTAGCAAGTCTTCATGCTCCATAAATAATCAATATGGTTTCTGTTTATGGAAAATGTAAATCATGTAACAGATTCTGCATGACTATCAGAAAGATTAGGAACAAATGCAGCTTATCTTTGATAACTCTAAGATCATAAGATCTGTCCATATCTATATATTACATCCTTCTGTTCTTGATCTGCTACTGTATATTTTCCCTATTGTTGATTTGTAATTTCGATATTTCCATTCTAATCTACTAACTCTTAAAAGCCTCACACAAGGCATTAGAAATAAACTGGGAATGGGGCACCTGGGTGGTGCAGTCGGTTAAGCGTCCGACTTCAGCCAGGTCACGATCTCGCGCTCCGTGAGTTTGAGCCCTGCGTCAGGCTCTGGGCTGATGGCTCAGAGCCTGGAGCCTGTTTCCGATTCTGTGTCTCCCTCTCTCTCTGCCCCTCCCCCATTCATGCTCTGTCTCTCTCTGTCCCAAAAATAAATAAAAAACGTTGAAAAAAAAATTTTTTTTTTAAAGAAATAAACTGGGAATAAATAAACAACTCACCTGGGATCTGTTCATTTTCTGGTTTGGAAAAGTGTAGAGAAGTGTAAAGGTAGAGCTGGGAAGAAGGAAGCAAGAATAAAGTCAGGAAAATATGGCCTGCCTTGCAGTTCCTGGATTCACCTTTCTATTTATTTCTTTTTAATGTTTACTTATTTTTGAAAGAGCGCACATGAGTGGGGGAGGGGCAGAGAGAGAAGGAGAATCCGAAGCAGGCTCCAGGCTCTGAGCTGTTAGCACAGAACCCTATCTGGGGCTCGAACTCACAAGCCATGAGATCATGACCAGAGCCTAAGTCTGCCGCTTAACCAAATGAGCCACCCAGGTGGCCCTGGATTCACCTTTCTAAAATGCACCACAAAAGAGGCAATCTAAACAACATGGAAACCTATCAGTGACTAGATCATATTCAGCTTTGACATGTAGTTTTTGAGTAGGTGAAAGTAAACATACACATCCCATTGATTATATTGATAATTTGCCTATGATTTAAGCACACAAAAAAACTTAAAATACAACCAATTCATACATTCAGAATACTAATATAGGAGTGTGTTCTTTAAACTCCTGTGGTTAGAAATACTAAGATTGCATTATCTATTTTCCTACCAACTTGATCCTAGAAGTACTGTTGAACAATTCACAGAAACTCTGAAAAAAAGAATCAGTATTCTAATAAGTTTTTTTTTAATTGTCCAAATTAGTTGCAATTTCATAACCTTTTGATAAGAAACTTGTTTTAGCTGTGCAAAGGAGGCATCTTGGGAATCAAGAAACTAAGAAACTCTCATGTCTTGATCACTAACACAGGAGTGATCTGAAACAATTCATTTACTTTCTCAGGCTCTATGTTTCCTTTCAAATGGGGCAGAAATAGATAATCTCGAATGCCCTTCTTGTACTACTATTATGTGATTCTAAGTTCAGAATAAAAAAATAAAAATACCTAGATACTAAAAATACATGGATATACATCATATTCAGGCTTAGGGTTTGGGAAAAGGAGAACAAAAGAAATGTGGGCTGTGTAAGGAGTTAAATAAAACTTCCTTGCTGGTGACCATTCTCCCATGCTAATCATCCATAAGGAGGTGATGTTTCCATGAAGCTTGCCCCACTCATCACTTAAGACAGCACACCTCTCCAGTGAAACCTGGTCTCTGAAATCACAGAGCTGTGATGGTTTCAGTTGTGACACCTGAAGTTATGTTTATTTAGAGCAGGGAGATCAAAAATTGCTTCTGGCCTTGGATATCTAGAGTCTGTTCCTTTGGGGGGTCTCCTTCACTTCTGTTCTGAAGCTCTGGTGAGAGGTCTGAGGAGGGTCTCAGGGTGTTTTCTTTGGATGTTTTTGTGCAGTTCCTTCCCTTTTATCTTCCTAGAATTGCTTTGTTGCGAGGGAAATGGAACTGGGGCCCAGAGGACAAAAATCATTCAATTTGAATTTTCGTACGAGACCCCCAATCTGACTCTCTGGACGGTTGCTCCCCAGACTAGACCTTCTACAGGCTCAAATCAGGACCGCTGGGCGCACAAAACTGAGAAAGATGGGAGGGGCCCATATCCTGGATTATGGACTCTGACCTCAGAGTCCTTCCTGAGAGCCAGGAGGGCACCTGTGCCACTTAGGGACCGTGAAAGAACCCAATGGTGGTTTCCAGGTAGAGTGGCCTATTAATAACAGGAAGTTCGGACAACGGATCCGACCTTAAACCCAACCCCCTCACCTGCCGGCTGAGTGAACTTGGGTAAATAATTCACCTCTCCAAGACTGGTTCTCATTTGCTAAAACAAACGTTTGTGAAAATTCAAAGAAATAACAAACGAAAACAGCTGCTTTATCATTAACCACCACACACTAGGCTCAAAGCTTCACATATGCCTTCGCTCAGCGGAGAGAAGCCCGCTAAAGAGCCGGGCCTCCCCCAGGGGGCGCTGCTGGGAGCCGACCTGGGCCGCTTTCGCAGGCTAGATGCACAAGGCTGCAACCCTCAGAGGACGTGGCCAGGCGGCCGGCTACACGGCTCCAGCGTCTGGACGCCGGGCCCCGCTCTCCCCGCGTTGGGATCGGGAGCCGATCCAACACGCACGGTCTCCGCCCACCACACACAGCCGCGGGCCTCACAGCCGTGTGGGTGCGCGGCTCCGCAAGACCATGCGGACGGAGACCATCTACCCCACGTATCAGAGTGGTGAGGCGGTCGCCGCCGAACGCACATGCGTACCGGAGCCGCGCGGGTGTGTAACTTCCCATCAGCCCCGGCGGGGAACGTGAGCGCCTCTGCGGCGGGCCGGGCGGGGCGCGCAGAGTAAGTATGCGCCGGACAAGTTCCGGGAAACGCTGAGCTGTCCCGGAGACGGGCGGGGCCGGGGCAACAGCGGAAGCGAAGGCCAGAGACTCGCCCTTGTTGTGAAATACACCCGAACAGCAGGGTTCTCCCAATACAGGAAAATAATGAATGTTTCATTATCATGCTTTTTACAACGCTAGCCTCCAAAGACTACACGGTAATACATGAAAATTTTAGGAAAATCAGAAAATACGCACAAACAAATGAAAGAAAGGAACAGTGGACATAGCTTCACCTCCCGCTCCCTGAAATTTACCTGCTTAACCGTTAGACGCAGCCTTCTTACAGTTTGCAGAAATGTGATCATAACACGCATTTTTACACTATCCTTGCAGAAAACAATTTCTTGTAATATATAACACCAATTCTTTTTTTTCCAATAATAATAAGTTACACTCACAACAGCATCAAAAATTGTGCAAAATAATTGAGTCAATAACCTATTTTTAAAAAAGATATTTTGTGGTATATCACATTTAAAAGACCTGGATGAGTAGATATTCCTATGATTTTCCTAGAAAGGTTCAATCTTCAACAGTATTCCAAACAGAATCTCAACAATTTTCTGTGTTTTTCTTTTTGCTTTTTATTTTGTATTATCTTACTTGACTGGGCATTGTAACCCTACTCTAAGAGAAAAAATAAGAAGAAAAAAAAGAAGAAAACCCCAGTACTGCTTAACATATATTAAAAGTATTCTATTATAACTTTTTTTAAATTTGGAATTGGCACAAAAAGAAAAAGAATATTTAAGAATTCAGAGGCACCTGGGTGACTCAGTGAATTATGAATCCGACTTCAGCTCAGGTCCCTTCCTGGGTTTGAGCGCTGGGTCATGCTTTGTGCTGGCAGCTCAGAGCCTGGGGCCTGTTTCAGATTCTAGGTCTCCCTCTCTCTCTGCCCCTCCCCCACTCATGCTCTGTCTCTGTCTCTCTCAAAAAATGAATAAACATTTTAAAAATTATCTTAAAAATTTTTTTTAAAAAGAATTCATTACATGGTTACATGAGGAAAGAACTGAGTATTCAATTCATTTTGGACAAATAGATCCTTCAAACTGAATGAACTTGTACACCAGTTCAAGACTCGTGCTCTCTCTCTGTCTCTCAAAAATAAATAGACATTAAAATAATTTTTTTAATTTTATATGTAAATCATTATATTCTTTTCATAATTTTTTTTTAACAATGTGCCTCCCACCTCTGACCTCTCAAAGAGCCTAGATACAATGATCTCCCAGTAGCAATGAACACAGTTAGTACTCAGAAATTATCTGTGAAAAGTACATAATGACCTTTGGAAAAGTGATTGCAAGGCTGGCCAAGAAAAGTACAAGGTAAAACTAAGAAAGCTTACTGTGCTAAAGAACAAAGAAGAACTTGCAGATCAATGGGGATAAAAAACAGAAGCAAGTTTGAGGAGGTACTCATAGCAAAATCATGGGGTCAATTAAAGCACCTAAAAGCATAATTTTTAAAATTTTTTTAATGTTTATTTTTGAGAGAGACAGAACATGAGTGGGGGGAGGGGCAGAGAGAGAAGACGACACAGAATCTGAAGCAGGCTCCAGGCCCTGAGCTGTCAACACAGAGCCTGATGTGGGATTCAAACCCATGAGCCCAGAAATCATGATCTGAGCTGAACACTTAACCGACCCAGCCAACCATGTGCCCTAAAAGCCTAATTTTTTTAAAGGGGAGGGGCAATATTCTCAGAAAGGCCAAGAAGGGAACTGGGACAGTTGGCTCCATCCATTAGTAATGAGGCTCTTCCTGCTTTAGTGTCAGTAGAGACCAACTGGGGTGCCAGAACTCCCAATCTCCCTTGAGAGTAACAAAGAGCCCCCAAGTCAGGTTTCAAACAAGGATGAGTGGGAAACCTCGAATTCTACCTCCATCTATCAGTAAAGGGATACTGCCCCCAGTTCTCCTGCTGGAGCAGTGTTGGAGAAAGCCGGTTAAAACAGATGTAAGTAAGATCTAGCATCTTCTAAGATAATATGAAAATATCCAGGTTCTAAGCAAAATTCACTCATAACACAAAGCAGGAAGATCTCAAACTGAATTAAAAAACAATAGATGCCAAGAGGTCAGGATGTTAGAATTATCTGACAAAGACTTTAAAGCTGCCATGATGAGGGGTGCCTGAGTGGCGCAGTCGGTTGAGCGTCCGACTTCAGCCAGGTCACGATCTCGCGGTCCGGGAGTTCGAGCCCCGCGTCGGGCTCTGGGCTGATGGCTTGGAGCCTGGAGCCTGTTTCCGATTCTGTGTCTCCCTCTCTCTCTGCCCCTCCCCCGTTCATGCTCTGTCTCTCTCTGTCCCAAAAATAAATAAAAAACGTTGAAAAAAAATTAAAAAAAAAAAGCTGCCATGATGAAAATGCTTCAACAAGCAATTACAAAAGCACACGAACCCCATTTCAAAACTGAAGAATAGCAGCAAAGAAATAAAAGATACAAAAAACCTTAAATGGAAATATTAGTAATGAAAAATACACTAAGTGAAATTAAAAACAAAGTGGATGGGCTCAAAATAAAAAATAATGAAGGGGACAAAGGAAAGAATAGTGAACTGAAAGAGAAAACCATAGACACTGCTCAATGTGAAGAACAGAGAGAACAGACTAAAGAAAAAAAGCCCCAGGGACCTGAAAGACTAACTGTGAAAAAATTAACATTCACCTTCTCAGAGTCACAGGAGAGGAAAAAGAGAGTAACACTGGACACGTACTTCAACAAATAATAGCTAAAAACTCTCCAAATTTGGTAAAAGACATAAACATCCAATAAAATGAGTAAACCCAAACCAGATAA